GTTCGATTGGAGATAAATTACTGCATTTTGGAGTTTTACTGTATTTTGTAGTGAAAAATGGATTTTTCGGTGGGAGATGCTCTTAGAGGATTTGAGTAGGCTGTTATGGGATTTTACTTCCAATATATATTCAATATATATATATAAATCATGCCATAAAAATGTCTTAAATAACTTGGTTGCATAAATATAAGCCTTCAAATGATCTGATTAGCATAGTAGATGTATTAAATTTATTCTATATTAAGAAAGGTAATGGTAGATTTTAAAAAGTTTTATTATAAAGTATTATAAATGATAGTATTTGATTTACATGAAAAGTTTACTCTTAATACAACATAATAGAGAAAAAAAATTATATAGCAAATCCCATATAGTGGATAGTGAAAAAAATATAGAAATGAAAACAGTTGTTCGAAAGCTTTGGAATACTTTTTTTTTTGGGACATTTAGGCCAGGCAAACTCATACACACAACGCATACACAAAGACTCGAACTCAAGGCCTCTTAGCTGGAAGCCTAAGCTCTCAACCAACAAGTCAAGATGAGCTATGTATTGATTGTCGGGTCCAGAAGTCCAGATGGAGCTTACCGGGTTGGCTGAAAAATAGTCGGATCCTACTATTTTTCTGAATGGTCAGGTTATGTAATGAACAGATGCTAAGGATTTTAAAAAATGGTTTTATTTTTAAATAATTTTGACTCTTTATTTTTATAGAGTATTTTAGTATTGATACATCATCAAAAATTTATCTTGATCGGGCACGAATCTTGATGCAAAATAAAGATGGAAACTTTCAAAATTAAAATTGAGACCATACGAACTCCGATTTTAGCAAACTTATAGTCGAACTGAGCATCTCGAGAGTATAATCCAAACGACACCAAATCCAACCCAATCCGAGCCAAAATGGGTCCAAATAAAGGGTTAGAAGCACCGTTGGAAGGTTCGAACCACAATTTGGATTACCAAACAGTTTCCAAACATAACTTGCTTATAGTCGAATCAAGCGGCTCGATGAGACGAATCCAACGAGCCAAAGATCATCGAGTTCTGACATCACTAAAACATTCAAATGTCCATCAAATAGTCCATGATCAAGGGATTCAACATCTGTCATCCATCCAACCACTCCCCATTTACCCTTGATCTCTCACCTATTTATGGGTCATGCCACTCAAGAAATCTATAAATAGACTCATCCTTTCTCTTGAAAATGGACCCCAAGCTAAAGAATTCAAGAGAGAGATCGGAGATCACTCTTGCCTCCTTGACCACCGCTTGAGTTCCGCCGGACCACCACCAAACATCGTTGCTCCATCGGACCACCACCTGAGGGCCTGAACTCCGTCGTACCATAAAATTGAGGACGAACAAATTACAATAATCAATTATTGGGTTGAAATCCAATTATAAATGGAGATAAAAAATCCGACAACATTTGGTGCTCGGGTGGAAATTCAGCTTCAATTGATGGTCAGCCAGAAATCCAGTGTCAATCGGGTGTCGGGCAGAACTCATACATCAATCGGCAGCTGGGCAGAACTCTGATGTCAATTGGCAATCGGGCAGAACTCCAGCATCTATCGATTGTCGGGAAGAACTTCAGCGTCAGCCAGCGGTCGGGCAGAACTCCGACGTCATTTGGCGGTCGGGTAGAACTCCGATATCGGTTGGCTACCGGGTGGAAGTCCAGCGGTGGTTGAGGAGGAGTCTGGTGGTAAGAGTGTTCTCTTCCTTTTCTTCATTCTCTTCTTACTTCCTTACTTCCTTTTCTTCTCTTCTTTATGGGGTCTCCTTCTAATGAGAAATGAGGGGCTTATTCATAGTTTTCTAAGAGTGACTTTGCAAGTAAATAGGAGGAAAATAAAGGGTAAATTGCGAGTGATTTGGATGGATGGCCGATGTTGAATTCCTTGATTGTGGACCGTTCTAAGCATTTGAATATCTTAATGATATCAAAATTTGGCGATCTTGGGCTCGTTGGATTCATCTTGTCTAGTTAGTCAATTTGACTATAAGCATACCATGTTTAGAAACTATTTAGTAATCCAAATTATTTATTGAACCTTCCAAATGCACTTCAGGTCTTTGATTTGGACCTATTTGAGCTTAGATTGGTTTGAATTTGGTGTCGTTGGATTTGTATTTTTTTAAGACCTTCAGTTTGACTGTAAGTTTGCTAAAATCGAAGTTTAGATGATTTCCAATTTAATTTTAAAAGTTTCCAACTTGATTTTGCTTCAAGATTTGTGCATGATCAAGAAAATTCTTTGATGATATATCAAATGTAAACGATTTTCATAATGATTTCATGAAATGAAAGCCTATATTTTTCATGAACACTTAAAAAGTTAAAATCTTGTAAGAAAATTTTATAATAGTAAGCAAATGTTCAAATGATTTAATAACGCTAACATTCTATTTTAGAATAAAAAATGTTAAAGGGTATAGACCTCTTTTGGGAGTAAGATAGCTTCTAAACTACCATTAAACCTCATAGGACAAACAAAATATTATATGGCCTCCTTTATGTCATATGGCTCTTAATTGGCACTAGGACCAAATCTTATCAACTTGTGACCTTTAGCTAACACTAAGCCCCATTCACTTAAACAAAACCTTGGTGACCTCAAGACATCTAGTTTTAATGGTTAAAATCATCTAATTAACATAGACCCCTAACTAGAAACAATTGACCCAAGTCAAATTAATCTAATATGGTTAAACATAAATACATATAAAACGTCCATTGGACCAAGTTAACAAAATTGAGCCCTATTGAAACCCATACCTAGACGTTTAAGCTAACTTAACTTAACCTAATCCCAACCTGGTTTACCCACATCTAAAAAACTTAGATTTGGATTTCTTTAACTTCATTTGATTTTAACATAGATGATATTCAGTGATTGCCTAGATTATGTGGCATCAAACATGAACTTATTTAAGTGTAACTTGGCCTAATTAGCTTTTGATTGACCTATGTGCATACTCAATTGGACATGGCCTTAGTCCCCTTGAGCCCTTAACTAGCATAAGACTTAATTAGATTCATCTTAGCCTTGATTAGTTATATATTTATCTTACTTGGTTCATATTTAACTTGATATAATCCAATGATTCGATTAGAGCTAAGTTGACCTATCAACATTGGTTAATACTTACGATAACCACCATTTTGACCCAAAGTGCACATATATGTACTAGGTGAAAGTTCGTTAGGGATGTTAGGCCCTCTTGAACTTAGTCCCCATTTTGACCCAAAGTGCACATATATGTACTAGGGATCATATGGACTTAACATATCTTATATTTGATCTAGTATAAACCTAAGCAAGCTTAAACCTAATTCAATCTAAATTAGCTTGACCCAATTGACCATCCTTTTCACATGCTAAAGACCCCAACTAAACCCATGTTATGTGATCTTAACCAATCCAAAAGGCTCCTTGCTTTGATTTACTTAAGTCTAGTTTGGTTCCCAAAAAAGCTTAGCATTTAAGTTAGAAATTATCCAATTAAGCTTATTCATTGCTTTCTCTTCTTCTTAATTTAAAACTGCTCAGCAACTTAATTCAGGCCTAAAAGTTATTATATAACTATTATGGAGAAAGTAAATATTAAAAAAATTGTTTTGAGTATTAGAGACTTTTGAAAAGTTAGACAACAATTTTTTTATAGCTATCTCATTCTTGTAAGTCTAGTTATTAAAAATGCTTCCTACCCTAAAAAAATGGGGAAAACAAAAAACTTTTATAACCAAGGAGGATTATGGTAGCTTTTTGGAAAGAAAAGTTCTAAAAAAATTGCCTCAACTAAAAGTTTATTTTGATCAAAACATATAGTTATTTTACTTCATCACTTTTATCTTATTATTTCCCCTAAATCTCTATCACACATTTCCATAAAAGGGCTATTCTTCATGGAATTTTTGGCATTAAATCTTTTCAAACTTTTTGAATAAGATTTATTATTGACAACTTTAAGAGAGGAAGGGATCTTCATCACAAAAAAAAAAAAACAGCCATCATTTTGCTATGCTGCAAACATTGATTCTCATCACAATGTTGAACTATGATATCAATTTATAGGGAAATGTCATAAGAGATTTATGAAAGCTTTAAAAAAGCCAAGGAATAGTGAAGCAAAAAGTAGTAGAGCAATAAGAGGAAGAGGAAAAAAAAGAATCATACAATAGGGTTAGAAACATACAAATATTGTTTCATTTTAATAATCTTAGCTATGATTATATAACGTAGGCTTCATTTGAGACAACTTACTACTGCTTTCTAAAATAGCTTTATAGTACAAAAGTTTCTAACTCAAAAAAATTTTATACTAAAAAGCTGTGTTAGAAAATATTAATAAAATCATCTCAAACGAAACCTTAGATCTCTATTTATAATATAAACTTACACAAGATCATATTTATATTTGAGCTTATTCGAAACAAATAAATAATATTATTATGATATTATCTAATATAAACAAAAACAAGGCTAACAAAAATAAAATGATAATAACAATAAAATATTTAGACACATTTCTAGAAATTCTCAGTCTAAATAAATGAGAAATTTATATTTATAAAACTAACTATAAATTATGGATAAAACTAATCATGATGATGAAATTGGCACATTTATCATATTCTTTCGTCTAATTATTAGAGTTTGGTGATCTTACACTTCATTTGAGGTAAATTTATTCTGTGTGGATACGGACGCCGTCTAGATGTGAATCAGAATGTGTCACACACTCGTTTGCCCTGTTTCATGACTGTTTATCATTATGCACCGGGTGGTGTGACACATTCTGATTTATCTCTGGATGATTCAGTGTCTGCACAAAATAATTTCTCTCATTCGAGACGTTTTTAAAATATATTTTTAGTATAAAAATTAAAATTTTTAACTAAAAATTTATTTTAAAAAGCATAAGAAAACATTCCAAATAAAGCTTTAGTAAGGTCTACGAATGATGATTTCACGTTTTTAAGTTGTTGCCGAGAGTCTAACACTTGGGCCCATTAAGGGGGGATTGGGCCAGTTCCATCAAGAACGGCTTGGTGTCTTGCTACAGTTGCGGTCGGTGGCTGGACGATGGCGGAGGAGGAGGCGATCAGAGCTGCTTCGGAGGAGCTGGCCTGTCAATTCCAAACCCTAATCAACACCCAGGAGGTTGAATCCATCAGACACATTCAGCATCTAATGTAAATCGCTCTTTTCTTCTCGCCAGCTCCTAGATTTGTTCGTTTCAATTTAGTGTTTCGTATATTTAATTCGTGCCTTTTCTCAATCATTCAATTTTTGGTGTTGGTACTTGTTCGATTGTTAGGGTTAGGATTTGGGGCAAATTATTGCATCAGGTCACCTGACAGAGAGATGCGTTCGGTCTCTCTCTGTCTACAGTAACCTGCGCAGCGTTTCATGAATCATTTGACTTTTCTGCTGTGTTCGAGGATATGTGTGGATTGGTATATCTTCAATAGTCTGTGGAGAAGGAAACAAAGAAATAGGGTTTAACCTCCAAAACTCTTGTTCGAATGTAGCATCTAATTGTTCAGAGCAAAAAGCAACTTTTGTACTTAAACATACCGGCGTTTTGGTAGATTGAAAAGTTAGTCTGGAGTTAAGGATCGTGTAATTCTTCTTATTGTATTCCATAATCTTTGTTTTGTAAATTCTGGTCCTCATTGGAATGTCCTAGTTGCATGGTGAAGCTTAGCAGAAATACTGATTTAAGCCCATTTTGGTTCCCGGATTGTGTGGTGTTGCGGTGTTGCTGTGTTGCGGTGGTTTGAAGTGAGATCAGAAACTCATAAGTTTGTGTGGTAACTCTATATTATAAGTTGTTGAGAATGTCTTTGTTGTGTGTTAGAATTTTCGTGGCGGTTGTTAGAATTTCGTGGTGGTAGAAAATAATTTTTTACATCTTATTTTTTAGAAAGATCCAATACATATACATATAAAAGATGATTGCAAGGACACCAAAGTTTTATTTGGAACATCCAATAAGTACAAAATTATGGAGCTTAGCCTAATTAAAATGATTACATTAGTTTATGTAATTGATTATAAATGATGCACTTCTCTATTATTAGGAAAGTTGTTGCTACAAAATAGTGACATAAAATATATAAAATGGATTCCATGATGAAAGCTGGAAGAACCTTGCAGCCTAAGAGTTGTGTTCAAGGGATCATTTATTATATGTTGGTCAATGTTGGTCAATCTCTTTTGTGGAGGAGAGACCAAATACTGCAGCATAAATCTAAGTGTTGACATCGAGAGAAAATTTGTTCAAGAGGTCATTTGTTATATGTTCGTTCATTCTTCTTTGAGGAGGGGAGACCAAAGACTCAATCATAAATTTGGTCAAAAACATGCATTAGTTTTATAAGCAATACCATGTATTAATGTTGATGACGATGAAGTTGACGGACATTGGCCTTTGTAGTGACTTTGCACGTCATCCTTGTAGGCGATGGCATACGTTGACGCCATTGCCGATGAAAGACATAGACGCTGTAGGGGATTGTGATTAGGAGAGTATAATGGGGTGACAATGTTTAGGAGATTGTAGTCGGAGGATCATGGTCGGGCAATAGTAATTGGAGGAATTATATGAGATGTGTCCTGAGCAGCGGTATATGAACTGTTTTTATTAAAATATTTTTAAGTGAGTAGTTGCTCTGTAATTATATGCATATGAAGTGCATGAAGAAAATTAAATGTTTCTATTTTAAGTAACATGAAGAGAGTTGAAATGATTTAGTTAAAAATGTTTAGGAATTATATGATTTTCTCTGTTGCACTCTGTGTTGTTTGGAAGAGGTGGCATAGGATATGACATGGAAGGGCATACAATGGAGGTGAGCCAACACATGCACTGAAATGAGGGGTCAAGGTTTGGAGCTGCATGTGAGCAAGTGAAGCGTGAAAGCCAACGTGCAACTTTGGTGGTCTGAGCAGGAGCATAACTGTCAACGAATCAAAGCCATGTTATGAATAAGGGAAAAGGGGCTAATCGATCGAGATGTGTTGGGAATGGTAGACTTGCAAGATGATATAGCTAGGGATATAGATGCATGTCGTGGGTGGGATAGCAACAAAGTATGGTTTTAGGTTTTGGGTGGGATAATGGCAAAGGGCGGGTGTAGGTTGCAAGTAGGACGGTGACAAAGGATGGGAGCAAGTTGCGGACTGGATTGCGGCAAAGGAGAAGCAAGCCATGAGCAAGGAAATCGGACTATCGGTGAGGAAGATGTCGGTAGGGTGTCTTGGATGTAGACGGGGGATAGGATAGAGAGCATGAAAACCTCACATTCGAGAAAAATTTTATGCATCTTTTTTGAAGAAATTTGTGCATATAAATAGGCTTAGTATAAAGGAGAATAATATCCCTACTAAAATGTAACTTCTAATATTAATACATAAGTTCTCTAATATAATTACCTGCGTAATGTGCCATTAGTATGTACACACAAACATTCTGATTCACTTATTCCATCTGTAATTTTCTCATAATAAGGGAAACACATTCCCAACTACTATGCAATTCAACATCAATATAGGTTAATCTCACTTACATTGAATGGTTCAATCTATTGTATTCCAAAAGTGGGAATCAATAATCATTGAGCATTTGTTATATTCAGTTTAGTTTTCTTATTCATGTTCCACAAAAGGAATGTTTATTGGCATGTATTTGTATTTCATAGTGATATCAGAATTAGATTGAAACAAGGTTGTGACCTTATGTAAATTAGCGGTTTTTATACAATGGTATAGTGGAGCTTTAATGCCATTCTATAGATTGTCCATCCTAAATCCCTATGCACTTATGATATTCAATGAAGCCTTTGGATTCCTTTCCTTGAGCCATAAGTTGTTATTAAGCTTGCCTGATCTTTTATCTTTCCATTGTTTTAGTGCTTGTAAAGATGTTCATTAATCAGTGATCCTGCACTTCCCGAATAAATTCACACTTTTTTTTTTGGTTTCTCTTGTCCATAACTTAAGCCGACCAATTAAAAAAAGTGAGCTTTATATTAACCTCAGCATGGAACACCCAAAGTAAAAGGTGTGAATTTATTTCGGGGATCGGGAGTAAAGCTTTACTCGTTAGTTGAGGAGATCCTTGACTGAGAATTATTTAACTGTTGATTGTAAGTACCTTCTCTAGTATTTTTTTTTAACTCTGCTAATTTAGCAACGTTGTCAGGCTGCCTCACAGGGTGTTCCTTAGTGAAAAAAGCAGGATGCTCTCCCAGCTGGCTCCACATGGCCGGCCCTAATCTACAGGAGGCGGGTCAAACCCCCTCCTATATGATTGCCGCCCAAACCGTGGGCCCCACAAGGCTAATTAAGGGAGGCGGCTAGGTTAGGAGGGAAATAAAATTTGAATTCAAGTAAATTAAGCTTTAAATAGGCATGAGAGGTTAGGGTTAGGGTTTATGTTGATTATTGTTTCTCTTGGAATTCTCGTTGGTGGTTTGGGCTCTAGACATTTTGTCTATAGATTGGGAGAGAACGATCCTCCTCTCGAATTGAGGATCAATTGTATCTTTGCTTTATGTTTTCTTTGCTTTGATTTTCCTAATACAATATACTGTCTTGGGTTCATTTTGTTGGCATTCTTGTGTTCTTTCTCGCTGTTTTTACCAGTTTATCATTAGGGTTGCTTGCGAAACTCAAGTATTTCCTATCATCTTTCTTTTCTAAAAATTGCTATGCTGTTTAGTCTCTAGGCGTGACATTTTTTTTTTCATAATTTGCATTTAGGGACTATTTCAAAACACAGCAAAGTTAATTTTTGTGAAAAAAATAATAGTCCTAAATAGAATTTTGTTCTTCATTTGTCATGTTAGTTTCCTTACATTTATTTTGCAGTTAATTTCAGAAAAGTGCAACCTTTTATTTTACGTCCAATTAATTTCAGATTCATAAATGCTTCTATCTGTCAACAATTAGCCCATCCGAGCTATATAATATATGTCATCTACCGATTAAATGTATATACTTTAGTTTATTTCCTTATATCTGGGTTCTAAATGCAGATTAGGAAGGCTGCAAGACAGTAATGCAGTTCTATCTCATTTCAACGAGTACTCTGAGCGATGTTTCACTGAACTTTCTGGTGATTTCTCAAGGAATACACGTCTCTTGAAGTCCATAAAGTCGGACCTTGACTACATATTCATGAAACTTAGGTATGTTGCATCAATCAACCATGGTTTATTTGCTCTAAAGCCGCTCATATTAGATGATAGTTTATTACTAGGAATGCCATCTATTTCAGGCTTCGTTTGAGATGGCTTTTTTGTTGCTTCTTAAAGCAGCTTTTCAATATAAAAATTAAAATTTTTATATTAAAAAGTTGCTTTAAGAAGCAACAAAAAATTCATCCCAAATGAAACCTCGGTAGTGCTGCTAACTCCATTTGATTCACCTAATCAAAAGCTGATATAACCTTGGCATAATTGTTGGTTTTTCTTGGGAGTAAAGTTAGTAATTCTCTCATTTTAAAGCTAAAACGCTTAATTAGAAGAAATTGTAACTTGTTGAGAAGTGTCTAATCTAATCAAGAAGGTTATAATCTATGTAATCTCACTCTATCTGTAAATGTAGCTATTCATGCCTCCATACTTTTTTAATAACAGAAGCATGAAGTCGAGGCTGAAGGCAATTTATCCTGATGCATTTCCAGATGCTTCAACAATTAAAATATTGGACCAGAGACCTGATTTGGAGAGACCATTAACATAGTTGGAGAGAGAACAATGTATTGCCATAACCATTTGATTACATCAAGTTTCATGTTCATTTTTGCATAACAGGGTGGGTTTAAAATTTTATTGAAACATTATTATTAATGCCACCTAGCCAATTCTCATGAAGACATTCTAAGAATTGCTTGAATTTATCAAACATAAGGGCATTCAAATTTAGAATATGTTTGAGAGGATTGTAACATTTTATAAATATAATTGTGAAATTGTTGTGGGAAATATAATTTAACTATTCTGATTAAAAAAAGTGCTTTTCATTACATAAATTTTTGAAAAGCTGTGATAAAGCAATAAGAAATTAGCGGTCAAATAAAATTATCGTTGTTGTCTGAAAAGCAAAACAAAGAGAAGGATGTCACAAATGACCTTTAAAGAGGAAGATAGTGGTTGGATAGCTATTTAACTCATGAAACATGTTAGGTGGATGATTACAATGAGGTATTGAAATTAGTTATTTTATAAATTTAAAAATTAAAATTTAGTAGGACTAAAAAGTAATATAAATAAGTTATAAAAAATAAATAATGGTTAACCTCAAGATCTTAGAGTCGTTCCTACTCGAACCCTTTGATGCTATTAGCACCAACAATCTCACTCATCGAAGTAATTATATCTATATGTTATATAATAAAGTTAAATTGTGGATAGATTGTGTGAATGTTTTATTTTGACATGCGGCTAAGTATAACAGATCTCTTTAGAATGCATTCACAATGACTTGCAATCACAATAGGTATAATCTGCTGCTAGCATCTACATCTATCACACATCTACAATTGTCTGCTACGGTTAGAATATCACATATAATAGGTTATAATATGACTACATGTATTCATAAGTAGGACTTAAATAGACCAAGGTTTTATTTGGGATGACTTTCTTACTTCTTCTTAAAGCAAATTTTTAATACAAAAATTCTAATTTTTATGCTAAAAAGTTGTTTTAAGAAGCAGTAAGAAAACTGTCCCAAACGAAACATAAGACTTAGTTTGGGTCAGCTTTCTCCCTATTTCTTAAAACAACTTTTTAGTACAAAAATTTTAATTTTTTAACTAAAAAACTGTTTTAAGAAGCCATAAGAAAGTTGTCCCAAACGAAGCCTAATACTTTATTTGGTGTATCTTTTTTATTGTTTTCTAAATCAATTTTCTAGTGCTAATTTTTAGTTTAAGAAATTTTTGTATTAAAAAACTGCTTTAGAAAACATAAAGAAAGCTGTCCCAAACAAAATTTAAATATAATTACAAATAGCTATAACATAAATAGTTGATTTTCAAGTGCAGGCTAAAGCAGGGTGAAATCTATTTGCAAATATTTACAGGATCTTATACCCTAAATCATCATATATTCATGAATAGAACTCCACGTGTATCATTTATAAAACTAAATGTATTGACAAGCATAATTATATATCATTTTCATTTCTTAAAAAACTAATTTTATTATACATTCTTTCAAACTACAATCTACTTATGAATTTATGAATATATATAGTCTTTGTAGAATGGTATCTTAACAGCTGTAATTTCTAGAAGATCTCTCTTTGAACTCAAGTAGATAAAATGTTATATCACATAGATTCTACAGTCTCCCAACTGTCCCTTGACACTTGATCCCACAGCCAGGATGGGAATTTGTGAGAGACTCATCCAGATCATGCCGATCTCTGTTCAGTCGTACCCTGACACTTGATCCCACGGCTAGGATGGAATTCGTGAAAGGCTCACTTGGATCATGCCAATCTCATTCTATATTTGAGTGGCTGATTTAGGAAGGATTATATTAAAGCAATTATGAATGATTATGTAGTTATTTATTTCCTTATTAAGACAGCTTGTATAGATCTATAAATAGGGATAGTTTTGTATAATAAAATAAGGCTTTTCCTTCTCCAATTCTCTGAATTTAACATGGTATCATAGCCTTCCTTGCCTTGGCCAGAATTCCGTGTTTTTTAACTACCAGACTTTCTTTCCTTTAGAAACAAAAGGGAGTGTATTCCTACTTGTTTGTTCCTGCATACATCCAACCGAGAGGGGGAGAGTGTCTCATCCTGCGGTCTCTTCGTTTGATTGAGAGAGACAAATGCCTAGTGCGTCTCGTCTGGAGGAGTCGAGTGAGAACCCCACAGTCTCTGTTTTCGGTCGAGAGAGACAAACGTCTTGTAAACTCCTCTCGAATGCGTGTGATTGAACGTGACGAGAGAGGCGTGAAGCCAGAAGATTCTGCACATGTGCTGGGAGCTGATTGAGCGGGATTACACAATGCTGCGTGTGATCAAGGGCAAGTCGGTTCTTGTGTTCTTCTTCCTACTCGCGTACGTCTAGAGCAGCCGAGCAAGTGAGCAGCTAGAGAAAGCACATGAGACTCCTCTCGTGTGTGCCTACCTAGGGGCCAAACTGAGTAAAAAAGAGGATCAAGTGAGGGAGCGAGCAGGAACTTCATACATGTATGCCTAAGCAGGGATGACCGACCCTCGTGCGTATGCTTGAGTCGAATCAAGCAAGGAACAAGCGGTTAAAGAGCAGTTATACATTCCATTAAATCCTTCACTCGAAGAGCCCCTCCTTGCCCCAAATCCCGACCACTTTTGCATGTTCCCGATTTGCTACCCTCATATCTGGGAGATGTACAAGAATCCTGAAGCTTCATTTTGAATAGCTAAAGAAGTTAACCTGATGGGGACATCAGTTGGAAAGTCTACCGTCGACGTGGCCGTAGATCTACGGCCACGATCGGCCCGATGTATTTCTGATTTTAGTATGGTCATTTTATTTTGATGTATTTTATTTCTGCATTTTTCCTTTTTTTACCCTTGCTTGAGGGTTTGAGTTTTGTAGCCCCTCGAGGGTATTTTAGTCTTTATTTTATGTCTTTGTATTAGGCTATTTATAGCCTTCATCTTGTATTTTTTTATGGTTAATGAATGATATTGAAAAGAAATTCCTGCATTTTGTCTTCTTGAAGCTTTCGTGTGGAGCTTAAGAGTTGAGAGTTTGGTGGAGCCTAGGAGAGGCCACCCGTCGTACCCAACAGTCACCACCGGTGGCTCTTGGTTTATCCTCCTCCCTTGTTTTCTCCTACCCGACGTCCGCCGTCGGTCTTTCCACACCTCCAATCAACACCTCCTCACCTCACCACCGAAATTCCTTCTTCCCCAGAACCCACCCCCTCCCATTCATCCTGTCGGCCATCTCCTCAACCGCCGGCTTCCTCTTCATCCACCACCCCACTCCCGGTAATTGCCGACTCCCTTACCGCCACCTCATGTATTTTCAAATTTCGAAATTTGAAAATTTTGATGAGTGAAAATTTCCAAATTTGCTCGGTGACAAATTAGGAAAGTTTCAATGAGGTTTCAATTTCAAAATTGAATTGAAACGGATTTGAAATTTTTGTCATTAAATCGTTGGAGCGAATTAGGAAACTCATCACACTTCCCCCAAACCCCCTTCCTCCTTACTATGCCGCCGGCCCCTTGGTGGTCCCCCCCTCATTTGAATGCTACATTAAGGCTCTTAATTACATGTATTTGAAATTCAAATTTCAGAAAATTTCCCTCCACTTTTACTTAAAATCTGAGAATAATTTTGATATGAAGATTATAACATATTTTCTTCATCCCAATTAATTCTCTCATAACCCTAGCCCCTTACTCCCTCTCACCCGTCCACCCTCTCTCTCTCTTTCTTTGCTTCCTCTCAAGGTGTATCTCCTTCATTGATTTGAGATGGAAGATCGATTCGGAGTTTGAATCCGGTTTTGGGTGTGCGAAGGCTAAGATTGCGTGGATCCCCTCAACTTGCCTTCCTCAAGTTGACTCCAAACATTGTTGAATTCAAAGAGAAGGCCACCTACCAATTACCACTAAAGGTTAGGGAAGAAAAACTAACGGAAGGTTTGTAGTGATTCACGTCATTTCTCCGAGAAGGTGATCTTCTTCCTTGATTCATTTACTTTTCAAATTCTACTTACCTTATTGAGATTTGTCCAAACAAGAAATTGTGCCTACTAATCGCCATCCATTAGTAATCGTAGGTTTGTTACTTCTTTGCTATTAGATTTCATTGTTAAGTCTTGGTTAAGTTGGAAACTACGTCGCATGCAATGTTTTAGTTTTCCTATGTGTTTTGATTTAGCTTAGTCTCTTGTGTGGCTTAGCCTAACTGAGTTGAACCATTAAGAGTTTTACCTTGTTGTTTTAATCACGAATAACTAAAATCTGAAATTGCTCTTAAACTATATTGTGCAAGTTTCCAATTTAGCATGTAGTCCTACATCATAACCTCTCTCAAGTTCTCCACCACTGGGATCAATCCCTCAAATTGGACGAACACCACTTTGTAACCCACATTCTCGCCTTCTTCATTGTTTGACGCAATTGTTATTGAGAACCTTGCCGGTCGGATTTGGACTAAAGTCTATTTGCTAGATTTGAAGCTTGCTGATGGAATGATCATGATATGTGGAGTTGCCCAGGCGATGCACACAGTGGGGAAGAAGATGGCTTTCTTGGTGGTAAGGCAGTTCACTGCTATAGTCCACTGCATGCTTACAGTGACCAAAGAGTTGGTGAGCACGCAGATGGTGAAGTATGCTACTTCCCTGAGTAGGGAGTCGATCATGGATATCAGGGTCAAGCTATAAAGAGATTAGAAATATTTTATCCTACCCTGAAGGAGCTAGCGCTTGCTGGTTCTCCAAGTTCCCACCACCGGCCTTCATTACTGGAAATATGAGAAATACTGGTTCTCACCAGTGGCCTTTATTGCTGAAATTTTGAGGAATCCAGATTTCCACCACCGACCTTTATTGTTGGAATTTTGAGGAATATTGTTCTTTCCACTAACCTTCATTGCCTGAATTTTGAGGAATACAAGTTCCCACTATCGGTCTTCTTTGCCAGAATTTTGAGGATAGTTTCCCATCACCGACCTTCATTGTCGAAATTTTGAGGACCTTTGTGCATCCAAGACCGAGAAAAGATCGAGCGGGAGGCTCCTCTTGCATGCGATGTCTAGAGTCAACCTAGCATAAGCGAGTGCAAGACCTCCTGGCTCCTGTGTGTGTTTGGAAAGTGCTGAGAGTTCCCTCTCATGCGGGGGCTAAACAAGCAAGAGTGCAAAACCTACACTCCCTTTTATGATCAGACCAAAGGGATCAGTGGCTTTACGTGCACCTCTATTGGCCTATCGTGCAGGAATCTATTTAGGTGGAGTTGGAT